CTGATTTGATAAATAACATTGTGCATAAAAAAGTACAGTAAACCATATGCAAGCATACTCCTGAAATAATATGTATTTTGGGCTGTTCATACCTCAAATAGACATGTTAGTGATCACACTACATCCATTCTCAAGTTCATATGCATTCTGCTGTGTTCCAGAGGTTTATCTGATAAACTCACTATGAAGAAAGTGTGATATAGGGGGTGGGATCTGATAGCATTACTAGCAACAAAAAACAGTTCTTACAAGGCAGTTACAACACTTCCCAGCTCCAAACATCAGCTAAGGGCTGTTTAAAGTGGCCCCTGAGAAACAGAAAGTCTTTCCAAATGCAAAACCTAATACAGAAGACAGCTCAACGCACCAGACTGTCAGCTGGGAAAGCTCCAGTTAGAATTTAGGAAAGCCTAACTACAACCTTTAGATAACTGGTAAACGTCACAGCATCGAGAACTGAAATGGTATCATCTCATCAATGAAAACATGGCAAGCAATGTTTCAGTAAAAGCTGAGCACTTTTCTTATAAGGCAATGCGGGGCAATGAAGAAAAGGCCAAGAGAAGTCGAAGCATATTAGGGAATGGAGTTCTGCCTTACAATCCTTTTGGTTTATGCACTGGAAAGTGCCATCTCCTCTCAACTGCACGTTTAGTTTGATTCTTCATACTGCAGTTGATGACACGCATTCATCTCGGGAATGGGGATGAAACAAGAAACACTGGACATTTTTACTGCATATCTGAATAAGGAAAAATACTCAGGGTAATGTGAATGCAACTAGGATGCAGGTGACAGTGAAATTCTTGTCAAGACATGCAATGATATATCAATCTAGATCCATTCTGTCTGTGAAATTAGTAAACTCATCTGTTTTGGTCATTCATCAAGAAAGATGACTTTTCCCCAGAACAGCCTGTGTTCATGGAGAAACAACGTCTGTGAGTGTTTCTGTGAAAACAATAACCATGAATGGTTTTAAACAGTTCTATAAAATGGGGTTCAGTACAAACAGAAGAGGCAATTATTGCCTTCCTCTATTTTCTTTTTAAGAAATAAAGACGGTTAATCTTTTCCCATAATAAGCAGAGCACAGTCACTGAGGGGGTATGAGAAACAACCAGTTTGGAACATTCGGCTATAACTGCAAACTTAAAACTCAAATGCACCACTTTTACTTATAAAGTCATAGCAAGGAAACCAGGACTCACCACACTGCAGTTACACTTTCTTTAGAGGACTTTTAATGTTCACAAAGCTCTTATCAGCTGCTATTATTACTAACAAAGCAACATGCAGCCTTTTACATTTAGTACTACTAGATTAAGTCTAATTCCTACACAACAGCAAAGATGACTTGGAAAATCAGAGAAACAAGCTCACCAGCTAAAAGAATGCTGAAGTGAAACTAAGAGATTCAGTGATCACAGAATCAAAACATCTCAAAGGAATAGTTTAGAGACAAGCAAAGCTGCAGCATGAAACCAAGACACGAGAAAAGGGTGTATTAATCATCAAGTGGAAAAAAAGACCTCTTAACTAACCATTTATCTACCTAACAATTAGCTAGGAGGGTTGCTATGTATTTCATCAGAAACATTTAACCTATGAATTTATATCTGCTTCACTTTTATGGCAACATGACAATGACTAAGGAAAAAAAGGAATCTCTGAAAGCTGTTGATTTCCACTTCTAGGACACAAACATGTACATCAGAGCAGAGCAAGGACATTGCTCCTGCCACCCTTCTGCTTGAAAAAAATCACTAGAAATTGAAATCAGTTTTTCTAGAACATTGACAAAGAAGAAGGGATCAATCAGTAAGTTTCTTTGAGGCTGGACAAGACTCATGAAAGCCTAAGGCATATTTTCTGAAAGAATATTGAGAATGGAATGCTAAAGCCCGAGCAAGTTTTGGAGCAGCTTCCATTTATCAGTCGGACTGCAGAAATCCCATTCCTCTCTCAGGCTCTTTTAGAAAACTCTTCTTAAGCAGGAATTATACCTATAACTGGCACTCTAGATCAGTTAATGCCTAGTGATGTGAAAATTAATATAGTGAACTCTGATTTGGATGGATCCTTAGGAAATACACCATATTGCTATTTTTGTTTTTATCTCAGTCTACCCATATATCTTATTTACTACTAGTATTACAATTGCTTTACTGTAACTAAAACAACCAAACAGCAAATGAAGTTTTCTATTTTACCTGTTAAACTCCTGAATTCATGATGCTGGTGTCTCATTTCCTCCAAAGACAAACAGGCATGAAACACTACCTCATGCACTGCAGTAACTCTGCTTTATGCTTTTCATATGCTGCCTGCAGGCACAGTGAATAGGAATAGGAATAAAAATTGGAACACAACACCAAGAGATCTTATTCTGCTCTCTGTATCTATGCTTTTAGCTCCCATATTCTGATTATTTGTTACAGCTCCTACAGCTCTGGGAAATGACAGACTCACAGATATTGTGAACACAGCAGCCTACCTCCCTTCAGGGCCTCAATTCCCAGGGTGAAGGGAAGAATGGCAGAACCAGTATGCTGTCCCCTCCCCATTGCAGAGGCTGAGATCAGTGGCCCATGGAGAATTTCATACTGAGGAAGTCACAAGCAAGTGTTATTAGGAAGTCTAATGACAACCCTGGATGAAGATACAATTTTATTCACTAACATCCTGCATTCTAGGAGTATACTGTATTACTGTCCTCTATATCACTTAGTTTCTTACAGCAAAGAAGGGAAGCTTCTTCCCATTAAAGCAAACTGGTTCTATATCCTTCATTGCCTCTTTTCCTTCTTGTTAATAAGTGGACACAAAAGAACTTTCTTCTACCTCAAGTTCCTGTCTGGAAATGAGGAAAATGTCCTGTACTTCCCATACCAAATGGAAAATGTATGGGTATCAAGAACTTGGAAAACAGCCAGCTTTCTGCATATCCTCAGTACTAAACATATCATTAGCTTATCAAAAATGAAAGTTTCCAAAGAAACAAGAAGTGGATATGAGAAATGTAAAGGTAAAAGAGCAAAACAGAACAAAAAGTCTGGTGTTGGGTTTTGTTTGGTTACCCGTGCCACACCGCCCCCTCCCAAATTTCCATTTACATGCATGCTATTATTAAGTTGCAATTATAATTCATGGGCTTAGGATTTCATTCATTTATCTATTAACAATAGATATTAACATTCATTTATCTATTAACAAAAATAGTTACTTGGATTGCCAAGATGAAGCCTCTATCGTGCTAATAACTGCATATTTGCACAGGAATTCCTGTTCTAAATATCACATCTAATTAAACAATACAGACAACAAAAAAATCAGACTCATGTTGAGTGAACTGGAAAGAAACATTAAAAATCCAAACTAAATAAAGTCATAGAGGAAATTGTACCAGTCAGGAACTGAACAGAGATCTCCTCAGTATGTAGTTAATTGACACAGACTGCAGGCTCCCTGCTTGAAAATGGCTTCCCCAGGAACTTCCAGTGTACCTCTAGTTTTATTGGGTTTTGTGAGACTCCAGTAGAGATGTGCTTGCTTTTTTTCTTCCCACCAAGCTATCCTAACTAATTTTGGCTTTCTGATGATAGTCTGACACATTTAAACAAGGAGAATCTAACACCGTGTCTAACCGATGAGCTTTCTATGCACATTATCTCCAGCTCCATCCCCAAGGAAATTCGCCCTCTGAATACCTGCCCAAAGATACATCCATAGACTACTTTTTGAAAGATATGCAAGCAGGGAGCTTGTATCCATCAGCAGAATCTAATCACAACGCTTCTAGTTCTGAACATGATTCAGGATCCTATCTATACATTAAGTCCCGAGAAAGAAGAAATAATTTTCCACTTTGCAGAGTCTCTGTGCTATGCTAAATTAAGCAAAATAATAGCAATGGAGACAAACCATGCATTAGGAATGGTTCAAAAACAGCAGGGAGGAGGGAGAGGAGTAACAAGCATTACAGTATCTATTAACTAACAGAATGCTTATGGAAATAAGGATAAGATGCACATGCATTTCAAATGAATCCTTATCTATAGCACCATAAGAAAATACAGCAAAATAAATTTGTCAGGGGAAACAGCTTAAAGCATAACTCTGTAAGCATCCAGCCATTAGTTTCATCTGAAGTGCATCTGATTTCTTTTATCACAATGAACTCATTTCACAATTAAAAAAAAATGTATTCTATATTCGCACTTATAACCCTGTCTTCGTTAAGTCCAATGTCAAATGCTATCATACTCAATTAGAGCATAAATATAGGTGCATAGTAAAAGAGTTTCTAAATCCAAATTTCTTCTTTATGTGCTCTTTTACTGATTCTGGAACAACTAATACTTTTGCCTTCAACAGTTACAGATAAGACTTGTTGAGGAGGCACATACGGCAAGCAGTACCAGAACTGTTTTCTTCCAGTAAAGCTACACAGTGGAAGGAGAGACCTATAATGAATCTACTTGTAGGTAATCATGTATCAGATTTCTCACACAACTGCATCACTGACCATGTCAATCTCTACAATGTGTAAAGCACCTGATTACCCAAAATATTCTGTGTTTAAAAAACTGTTTCAGAGATATTAGTGGGAAAATTCCAACGCTCATTCAACCAGTGCTCTTGCTGACCGTAGCATATGAAAACTGACAACCAGAAAACCAAGATGAAGTTCAAAGCAATTTTTCAATGCCTCTATTGATTAAACTTTCAAAGCTACCCTGCTTACCAAAAGCTTCCTGCTTTGTGAAGCAACAGATCTGAGACAGATTCATGGTGCAACAAAACTCATTTTAGTAGTAAGCAAACAGGCAAAATTTCTTAAGAAAGTATTTTCAACCATTAAGCTCTTTGTGAAATTCAGTGAAGGAGAACAAAGGAGTATGTTCACTTAATGGACTGGTCTAACAGCAATACCTGATGAATAGTTCAACTAAAGTTCTTTAATACCATTTTTGACTGATCCTCCGTTCTCAGCCTACCTGGTGTATTCAGCAACCGGGACATCTTGCAAGAATAGGAGATGAACTGCTCACAGTATTCAGCACTACTGGTAATGGCAGAAATCTGGTCCATCGTCGCACTGTAGTTGAGCTGCAGTACAGATAACTGTACTCCCACAGAAGTCTGCACTGGCAGATCATGGTACACAGTTGTCCATACTTTATCCTCTGAAAGAGAGAGGAAAAATACAAGGATTGGTGAAAAACAGACAGTGGAACTGAATCAAATAAATCCAGGCCTTTGACAGAAGACAAAAATGTCCTACAAGGTAGTAGGGAAAAAGGGTATTGCATGTGGAAAGTCATCATGAGAGAGTACAGTTCCAGCAACCATGAACTGATCACAGGAAGAAACCTTGACTGCCTTTGCAGTTTTGACAGCCAATACACAGTGCGAGGAGACTTCCTTGAGCAACTGATGCTAATAGTGACGTATGGTACTAATAAGGACTAGCTTTAATCAGAAATTGATTAGAAGGACACAAGGTTGAGGCACTAAAGACGAGCTACTGTAACAACAGGGATGTGCCATTCTGCGATTGCACCGTTTAGTGATTAATACTGAAAACACTGCAGTTTATGAAGGTTTCCACACTTTTAACTCCAGGTGTGTTCCTAGGGTACACCAAAACTAATGCTTATTGAGACTGGAATATTTTACAATAGCAGCACCAGATGACCTCATTGATTGTGGTTATGGTATGGATAGCAACATAAGATACAATAGCAGTAGGAGACAATGGAAATAGGGCTTCTGCTTAGTTGTGAAAAATCAAAAGGAAAGCAGAAGGACAATCGTATTTTGCTGATAAGAGGCACAGCAGCACCGGCTGTATCTCAACACTTCCCACAGCCTCATGCACATGCAAAAAACTGTGCAATACACAGCCCACAACAGACCCTGTATTCACTACATTGCTTTAAATTGCCAAACAGCAAATCGCTAGAAGTGTTACTACCGTTTGTCAGTAGCTACCAGAGGAGATTTAAGATAAGATACCATAATAATAAAGCAACACGCTCCACACTCCTTTTGTTGGAGGATTTGTGGGAGTTGCAAGGTAGTTTAGAAAGGAAATAAAGAAAAGGCACAGAAATTTTACTGTTACAGACCAACCACTACTTTTTCTTAGACAGACATTCCACAGAACCAAAATGAAAGGAAAATATAAATACCTGAGAGTTTCAGAATTAAAACAATGAAGATTCAGTTAATGTTAGAGATAACTTTTTTCCTGTAACAGTACTATTGTATCACTTGGGTATGAAGAACTTTTAAATTCAAGCTGACTAGCTACCAGTGTAAGCAAGCACTGTTTCAGCTGATACTTACTACTCACATTGTCCACCTCAAGATAGCTCAGGACTGAAACAGGTTAATCCTCCTTTATAAATGAAACACACAAGTTTTTCTTTTTTTCTATAATTACCCTTAAACAGATCACCACAGAGCACTCTAGAAGTGCAGCAGGCTTTGTCACTGGTCTTTATCATGTATTGATCTTCCACATTTTAAGTTGTTTCTCTTTTAACTTTTCTTTCTGTTGTTTTACATACTTCTACTACTGAGGGCCAAGTCAAAGAAACGTTTCTTTGAACAGGAAATGCATAATTTTAGGAAGCATTTAAGAGTCTATCCTCATGCCTTGAACTGACTTGCTAAAAAGCCCTGTTTTCCAGATGAGCCAGCCAGGCCTTTGCCCCAGATGGTTCAGCTGTTTCTGTACAGCCACATCACTGACCACAGTCATCCTTCCATGGATGGGGAGATGAAACATGCCATGCTGCTAACTTTGAAAAACCAGATTCTCCAAGGGAATCCTCAGGCAGTCTCAAAGAATACTAATTCACCTGACAGATGTGCCTTACAGCAATAAACCCCATAAAATGTAGTACATAGCAGTATGTTTTCAATTCCTCTATCTAAATCTCATGCCTGTTCATACACATCTCTGGGTCATCCCAAAACTTATGGCCTGATATAGCGTGGTTCAGTACCTTAACTACATGAAACTCCTGTCATCAACTGAGGCATACTCAGAAGTGCTTCAGTACTTCTTCACCAAGTTCTCAGCAAAGTGCTTACGTACACTGATGAGTTCTGGGCGTGATCCAGAGTAAAGTTACCTTTCAATGCCACAGTTATCTCCAAGACTCTGCACTCCACCCTATTTTCCAGTCTTAATTTTCACTGCATAGTGTCAGGCTATTTTGGATTAAAAGGAAGCATGTGGACGCATGTGTTTGTAACCGATACAGTGCAATTCTCTCTAATCAAATGTTCAGAGATAAGGTAAGCAGAGCAGACAACAACTCCGCAGGGAGTACACATCACTAGCCAAATGCGATGAAATTCAGCAGGTGATGCAAGATGGTTATTATGTTAATATTCATATCTTTAGTCCAAAGCTCTGTATCAAACTATACTATTCTTGCACCAGGAAAGGAAGCAATTTTTACAAAAAAGGGAGGGGAAAGAAAGAAGTGGCATTCCTATTGCTGTATAGCTTTAGTATCACTCCAGGTACCAAGGAAAAAATCGTAATTGTCATCTGTCACATTACGCAGAGAACATAACATAGCTTTGTTAAAAGCCTCAGATGGAAGTTTACTGCAGCTTCATTTTCAAGAAAGGATTGATTACACAGTCACTGACAGCAATGTCTCACTTCTGGCAGAAAATGCTGGACATGTAAGAACCCTAATGTGTTAGTACGGCATGCATTATGCCAGTTAGTCTCATCTGGAATGAGAAAAAATTCCTAGACTAGCTATTAAGAAGCCATAGGAATGTTATTAGCAATAGGAGCTGTCTTCAGCATTATGTTTGTGAAGGGTACTCCTTTTGGATACTGGATTTTATTTAATGCAGCCCTGACGCTTCCCCCCCCAGTGAGGGAGTTGCAGGCTTCTGCATTGCATACCATATGAAAGAAGACAGAAACACCTTTGTGTCAGTCAAACACATCCCCTGAACAACTTCAGGATCTTCCTGTTGAAGTGCAAGCACTACTAATAGAGAAAAGATGGTTACACCTTGCAACATATCTTTTTATACACATGTGCATTAGGTCAATAAGGGTTTCTAAAAGAGCATCTCGATCTCTTCCTGCTGTCTAGAAGATGATGGCAGATTGGTTAGGGTATACCTGACCAGCTACTGGAAGGAAACAATAGCTCCCACTACACCTCCACCTTACCTTGTTTACAGACTGGCTCAAATGACTGATCACAGAATCACAGAATGGTCTGGGTTGGAAAGGACCTTAAATTTCAACCTCCTGCCATGGGCACGGATGCCTCACACTAGACCATCTTGCCAAGGCTCTGTCCAGCCTGACTGATGAGCACTTGATTGTAGCAAAGAAGAATTTACCGGCTTAGCAGTGCACAGAGCACTTCCACTGTCAAGCCTGAAATCAGTTTTGTCAGACACGCATAGGATAATAAGCAAAGGATGCACAGAGGCTGCCAGTTTCTTGACATTCAGCAAACTGGCTCATCCAAAATCTGGAAGAAGAAAGGTCTGTGCCTGGAGCGTGGAGGAAAAGTTGTGGCTGACATAAAGGAAGGAAGGAAGCTCCTTGTCTGGGTGGGGGATTTCACACTCTTCATACGTTTTTCTGATTTAACTAAAAAGCCCTGCCATGATGCATGGACCGAGAAATCTGGAATGACAGGGTCTTCCTTCAGCCAGAAAAGCATACAGACAGTGTAACATGGACACAGCTGAAAACTCACCTCCCCTTAACACCAAGAGCAGACTCCTGCATCTCATACAGTTATACCACTGGGAACAGCCTTAAGATGTATGGAAAGACTTAAAGGAGAAAGTTGCCAGGCAAGAATCACAACCTTGTGTTGTGTGCTGATTACAAACTTCTAGCTTAACAATAATGCAAACTTCTCAGAAACTGCTTGTTACTTGAGACCATTCTTCAGAAAGATTTAATCAGTAACCTGCCTGAAGCCAACTTCCCTTAAAGAGAAGGTAACACAGATAATTCATACTATCTCAAAACCTGTATCATCACCTTTTATGGAATAATTCCCATGCAGCTGAGAAAAGAATGTAGTAGTCATAGTTAATGTATCAAAATCTCCAAGAAGAGCTACCTCTCAATTTCTGTCAATAGTACACAGAAATCTTATTTAAGGTACACAAAACTGAAAAATCTATCCTAGGTAACCGTAATGTGATATATAATCCTGGCAATTACAGTCACCACAGCCTGGCAGTGTTCAAGGCCAGGTTGGACAGAGCCTTGGGCGACATGATCTAGTGTGAGATGACCCTGCCCATGGGAGGGGGTTGGAACTAGGTGATCTTGAAGTCCTTTCCAACCCAACCCTTTCTGTGATTCTATGATTCCCCTAATACACTGGCAATTATTTTAAGAAAGCATAACATATGGCTACTTCTAACAAGTGTTTAGAGACAATTCGTTGTCCATCAGAGCTGTGTATATGACTTCTGAACAGCCAAACACACCTATAAGAAGCAGACATCATTTAATTATAATGCCGTTGAATAGCATCATCTGCAAAATACTGTATATGCTTATTACCTTTTTCATTAAAAACTATATTAAAATGAATACATGTTGAGATTAGTTAATTTAAGGCTAATATGGCTTCTCATAATATTTCTTTATTGCAGACACGGTAACAGGAAGTTAAAAGCTAGTGTTTAAAGGGATATTAAGTATGTTCTAATTACAAAAAATGCAGTAATACTACAGAGAAGGGCAATGGAATTTTGGTAAAAGACATGGGAGTCAAACAAAAAAGTACACAGTGAAAATCTTCATGTTACTGTACAACTTGTGCTTATGGTCAATCTCACATCATGAGCTCATACAAGCCAGGAGACTTCTCAATTGTGACGTAGTTTAAGGAGCTAGGCTGGATAGTAACAACACTGATATGACAAGAGTTACTTGACTGGCTGACCTGACTTCAGAATAGATTATACAATCATAAATAGGTAAAGCATCATTGCCAATTGGATTAACTGGATTCAGCTTCTGCCCAAAGTTAATCCTATGCACAGATTTCAATTAATTTCAGATACACTGAAATTCTGAGCATTTGCATTATTCCATTATTAATTTATTCTAAGACAGACTGATTTTGTAAAAGATCATTTAAAGCCCCAAACACTTCTT